ACCAGAAAAAATGAGGCATGGGGTTGAGGCAAAAAAAATATTTACCATCTTGGATCCAGGAGGTACTTAAACTTTTGTTTTAACTCTGCATAGATGGTGGCATTTTGCTGCCCAAGCTCTTACACTGAGAAAGGCTAACATTTTCACAAACTACTATTATCAATGATTTTTATGCTCAATTCTTCAGAAGGTAGAATTAATTAAAAAAAGAAGAAAATTTTGAAATGGAACAGTGGAATGAGAAAAGAGAGCACTCATTTGAATCATTAAAGAATTTACTTTGAATTTTTTTTCTTTTTAATTTGAGCATGTGCTGAATATTATCCCCCCCAAATATGCAATGGGCACAATGGCCATTTCTTCTTCATGACCCACACTTGCTTAACCCCTTTAATGTGGCAGCTGGAACGGTTCCCTCACAAGTCATTAAAGCTTTCCCAGTGGCCAAACCAGGGATTTTCCCCACCTATCTTCTCCAATGTCATTCTCTGAAGCAGTATTGAATGAAAATATCGCAAGTATCTGGGAGGAACCAATAGGATTTTGAGACTGATTATTTGTAGAGGGTGGAGAAGAGGAAAGACTCAAACCAGACATCCAGGTTCCTGGATGGACGGGGTACCATTCCCAAACACAGGGCTGCAACAGGGAGATCAAGTTGGGTCAAGGCAGGGCGGGCAAATGCTGACTGAAGCTGGAAAAACTGATCATGTGTGCACGCTTTATCTTATCGTGTAAATGAAAACTTCTTGAGGGTTGCAGGGTGATGAGAATTTTCTGTCTTTTTCCTTTGCAATTCCTCCTGTATCCAAATATCTAAATCTCTTTCAACATGCATCTTTTTTATCTCAAAAGGTGGGTCTTCTCCCACCAAGAATGACAGAACTACTGTTCTTAAAATAATGCTATGACTGTAACAAGGATCTCAATCAAGAAAGAGGAAAATGGAAAGGCCCTGATTCCTACAATACCATTTCCAGAAGTTTGTAAAGGTGAATTAAAATTTACCAAAAGGTTGGTATGTAAAAAGGGAATTTCAAAGGAGGAGAAACCAACTCCAGACTTAAGGTTAAATATGACTGTTTTTATAGAACAAAGCAAGAAACCAAAGTAACTTGAAACCATTCCAGGAGAAGCTCCTCTTGAGCATAATAAGCTCTACCCTATAGTCAGCCTGACTCTTCTCTCCTAAAATAGGCCCTTTCTTTCACAGAGTACTGGTTTTTGCTTTTGCATTAGTGCTTTGCATTGCAAATAATCTCACTTCTTAGGGTCACCCAACCTTTTTTCAGAGAGGCAGCACCAATAGCATAACTGCTAGAGCACAGAAGCTTATGCACCAATTTCCCAAAGTCTCTTTATTCCCCTTGGAATAATATCTAGGGAGGCCAAGGGAGAAAAAGAGAAATAGGGACTTTGGCTTAACAGTCTGAGGGTGAATTTCAGTATTCCAGTAGAATGAACGTCCTGGGATGGACTCCCAGTGTGGTGCCTTTTGATAGAACCTTATAAGAGTGACATCCAGATGTTCTTTCTGGTTTCCAAGCAAATAAATATTGGTTCAAAGGTACACACACGTGTGCACACACATGCACAAACTCCTCTGCCCTCAAGAATACTGATATTAGAAAAATGTAGTCTATAGGCTTATGCAGAAAAGAAAGCTATCCTATATAAACTTTCCTATATAAAACATAATCTTCCAAGACCCTATCACCAAGGGGAAGGTATTTTACATATGCAGAGATGAGTCAATGCCTTTGTTTACCCTTCTTCTCAACATTGTACTGAGGCAGGAAGAGGGTTTATTAGCCTTAAATTCATGTAATCTCCCCCTCCCCAACTGTGGGCAGGATAAAAGTGGTTTGGGGTGGGGGTGATTGACTCTCCTGGTTCATTCCTTTGCACTGATATGCTTAGTATTTAACCATGGAGGCAACGGAAGTCATTCATTTAGATACCGGCCAGGATTTTGGAATATATACTTCTACTCCAAAATAATTTTCCTCCAGATCTCTAGGACATCTGTGTGAAGTCTGAAGCTAGCTTCCCCAACAGCCATGCTGATTCTTGGGAACTTGCTAAGGACTTCTGCAAATGCCTCCCCACTTGGTACCTGGGCTCATAGCAGGAACAGGTGGTGACGATTTCGCATCCAGTGAGAGCCCAAGATAAAACAGATGCTGACTCTGGCCCAGATTGCCCTTTTACCGAAAGTCACCTTTCCCAAATGCCAGCTCCATCAGCAGGTTTTCTGCCTTTAAAATCCAGTGGGCCAAGCCCATCCCATTCTGGATCTGTTTACCCAGAATTGGAAAGAGTGCAAATCTCCCTCCACCCATTCTGGTATACTTTCCTGTCTCCTTCCTTTGTGTTGCCATGGCATCGACACATGCCACCATCTCATCACTAGCCACACTATATGACAATTTATCCACCTGCTTCTCTGTCTGTCTTGCTTGCCTGTGAGCTCCAGGAGGGCGGGGACTTACATGTATGTGGGCTTTCTCTCCTCTTCTTTCCCTCAGCATACAGTGGGAGGCAAGGATTAGGTGCTCAGTGGTTGCTCTACTGATGGACCATATGTGATAGTTTAGGGGTTGCTTTAAACTGCTCAGCCTCAAGCAATAACAAGAATCATTAGCATGATTTTTTGTCCTATTAACTCACAGTTTTACTTGGGAAAAAGAAGTCATAAGCATATGAGAAGACCAGATACTTCTACAATCTCTAAACTCTGTTCCAATGGAATAATTTCTCTCTCTGAATTTAATGCAGCCCTCTGAATCTCTCTGGATCGCCTGTTAAAAACTGTGATCTGCTTTTGCTTCCCCCGTTCTCCTGCTTCCACAATCAGATCACTAAATCACCCTGAGACTCCCTGCTAGAGCAGTCTGAGGCCCTCGTGCTCCCGCACTCCCAGGCTCCCCAAGGCACCCTGTCCTTCCTTGCAGTCCCTCCGCTGGGGGCCTTCAGTTTAGAAGCTCAGGAGTTAAGGGCCTTTGTTCCTTGCAGGCCTTTGGAGGCCCTTGATGCCCTGGGGCCTGCGCAGGGAGTTGCTTCTACCAGCTGAAACAATCACAGGATCCAGACTGGAGACAGAGTAAAAAAAAAAAAAGACTCTGCCCCATTCAGCTGGCTCTCCATTCAGCCTGGGCTGGGGGGTGGGGGAGCCTTAGTTTGTGAATCTGGTTAGCAGCCTCATTCCTGGAAAACTGGCCTATTGCTGAGCTTTCTCGTGAACTTCATCCACCTGTCATGCTGGGCCTTGGAGGGCAGCCAGGACAGGCAGGAAATAATAGGCTGCAGGATACCGGTGTGTGTCAGTGGCCCCGACCCTCCCATTCCTGAACACAGATGAGCTAGAAGCCTGTGAGGAGGCACCTCGCCTCAGATGGGCTCAGGAGGCCATAGAAAGACCAGCGGAGGGCAGAGGAGGCCCAGAACTTTAAACCCAGGAGCTTTAAACTCACCGTGGGCGTCTCTTTCGGACTGCAGGATCATCGCTGAAGGGAAATGGCCCTGGATCTTGCTGAGACACATCCCTTTGTTCTCACTGACCTCATTCTGCACACACAAAGCTGAGCCTCAGATCCAAAGGAGAATGTCTGGGTCCGTCCCACCTCCACATTCCCCCCTCCTCTTGGCCTCCCTAGTGGTCAGAGAACTGGCTACAATGACATCAACTGGCTAGAATTGCATGAAACTTCCCTTTTCAACTCCCAGACTCCTGGATTCCTATTTTGCTTTGTTTTTAATTTCCAAACGATTTCCCTTTGTCCAGCTGGGTTTCACCCCTCCCCACCCTTGTCTCCGTCAATTTTCATTTCCTATTTTCCATTAGCAGCCTTCAGGCAACGAGGTAGAAGAAACAGCGCTTCTCAAGGAGCTCTATCATGAAGACATCTAACACTGAGAGCAAGGTGGAAATATTTTACTCTAGAAACAAAGAACTGAAGTGGCTGGTGGGCTTGCATTAATGCAACATCAACCTTCTGAGAAGAAAGAGATTTTAGAGTTCCTCCTTCTTGTGAGCTCTCTTAGAGCCAATCCCACTGTGGGTGATAAAGGTAGGGAAAAATAGCCTTTTCCCTGTGCATCTGGATACCCCCAGGGTCCTCCTAGATCTGAAATCAGCAAGTCCACAGACCAGACTGTCTCAGATTCTCATGTGTATATGACTCTCCAGGGATCTTGTTAAGATGCCGCAGGATGGGGTGACAGCTGAGAGTACAGTTCTAACAAGCAATCAGGTGACCGTGACACTTTGAGTAGCAAGGTTACACTTACCTGGTAGTGTGCTTTTCTGAGATTTATCCCAAGGGAACATGAATAATAAAGCTATTTTGGGGTAGGAAGTCTTCATCTAAGAAGGAATGTGTAATGGAAAAGGGACTGATTAGGAGCAAGGAAACCAGGGATGTATTCCAAGTTACGCGGTAAGCTAACGGGGTGCATTTGGATATGCGCTCTCTGAACTACAAGGAGGAGGTTAAACTAGGTTGGTGAGTTCCCAAACTTTTCATATGGTATATGTGTTTGGAAAGATTTTGTCCACTAAATACACTGCAAACAACAGAATAACTCACGTGGTCCTATCCAGACAAAGGAAGAAAGAACTTCAGTTTATCTTTTTGAACTTTAGAACATGATCAGAGCATGAACAAAATCACCCACTTGGAAACCTCTGGATTTGGTGGTGTCCAAGATCCTTCTCAACACTGGCATCCGATGGTCTCAGTAACAAGCATGAAAAGCAAAGAGGGGTGGATTTTCACTGAGTATAAATTTCTATCAACTAAAGTTGGCTTAATTCTGGAGGTGTTATTGAGGGAGAAGACATTGCATCTTTTTCCCTAAAACTATGAGAAGATGGGAAAGCTTTAGGCTGGGCCAGTGAAAGGATATTTCTGCCTAAAAGCAGGAGAAATGACTGTGATTGTAGTTGTTGAATGACATTTATCTCATGTTTCTCAGAGACCCAACAAGATACGGGAGAACACTCAAATCAGGATGATTGGAGGAGGGCCCCTAGAGGGGCTGTATTCACAGGGATGGGTGGGCTTCCTCAGGGATGGTGACGCCCAAAGCTCAAAGGTGTGAAGAGAGAGGCAGCTAGGGAATTCTAGAAGGATTGCGCTCCACTTGCCCAATCACCGATTCTTTCCCCGCAGCATCGTACTGGCACTTTTGTCACAAACTAGGTGACTGGTGTCATACGTGGGTTAACTTCTGAATTGGCTCTTCTGTTCATTACTGTCTCTCCTTGCTCCAAGAGCACATGTTTTAATTTCCTATAGCTTTACAAAAAGTCTTCATATATGGTAGTATAAGTCCTTCAATTTTTTTATTCTCAAAGATTATCTTAGTTCCTTCTGGTCCTTTGCACTTTCAAACATATTTTTGGATGAGCCTGTCCGTCCCACAAAACTGCATGCTGTTGTTCTCATCAGAATTGTATGGAACCTACAGATTAATTTGGGGAGAAGAGAGAACAATTTTAAGCCATTCAACTCATGACGACTGCATGTGCTTATATTTATTTAGGCGTTTATTTCCTTGCTGTGAAGCCCTTTGCAGGTTTCTTAGTATCGAAGTTTATATTATCCTCATAATAAGTTGGTAAGTGATCCCTGTTTATTCACTGGAAGAATTGTTTCTCCCCCACATCTTTTTTGTAGTATTTGTAAAAGTACTTTGCCTTTTCGTTTCTCATTCATTTTGAAATTATGTGAATTCTACCTGGTGCTGTTTGCTGATTGCTCCCAGGCTATTATTTCAGACAAGAATTCTTGCCTTTTCCTTGTGTTCCTTATGACACAGGGTTATTTGTGTTAGTGAGTTCTTTCTGCTTTCACGTTCTCATTGTTCAAACCAAGAGAATATTGCTTTTACCCGTTACGGAGTGTCATTTACCTGTAAATACCACCTGCTTTATGTGAGACCTACAACTGTACTTCAAGTGGTATGTTCTTTAACATTTATGTTACCAAACCTCTTTATAGGACTCATATTGATTTTATCCTGTTTTCTCAACCTTAAAGAATATATACTGATTTTTCTCACTGTCTACCTGAAACTTCTCCCAGACCTTAAGCTACAAAACTGGTGAACTATGAATTTATATGAACTTACCTAAGGAGTGAGAAAATGCCCATGGGTGAACTCCCTCTTTCCACAGTTTTTTCTTTTCTTTTTTTCTTTTTAATCCTATAAGTACTTTATTTTTTTTTTAGATTTATATACAATAATATTCATTGAAGCATTATTTGAAATGTTGAAAATTTAGAAAAACAAAGAAAATGATTAAATACATGATGTAAAGCCATATGGTAGAATATTATACAGCTAATAGAAGAGAATCAGAGAAAAGAATCCAAATTATTTTAGTGTTTGGTACATAATTTGTTGCTTAATTACTACATGTTGAATAAAAATTGATGATTGAAAACAAATATTTTATAAATTCCAGATGTACTGTAGGACTTTAATGTATATCCAGTTATGTATTTGTGTATCTAACAGTCTACTGATAACTTAGGCTTTAATGTTTTATAGCATCTCAGACTTACTGAGGTCAAAATCAAACTCTTATTCCTTTCCCCTACTCTCTCCAAACTCCTCTTTCAGACTTCCCCATCTCAGTCTGGAGCACCATAGCTTTTCTCCAGTCCTTTTTTTTTTTTAAGTTATCGTTGTTACACAGTCTTATGAAAGTTTTTCATGAACAACATTGTGGTTACTACATTGACCCACATTATCAAGTCCCCCCCCACCCCATTGCAGTCACTGTCCATCAGCATAGTAAGATGCTAGAGTCACTACTTGTCATCTCTGTGCTATACTGTCTTCCCCATGGCCTCTCCCTACATTGTATGTGCTCATCAAAATGCCCCTTAATCCCCTTCTCCCTCCTTCCCCAAACCCTTTCGTTTGGTAACCACTAGTCCCTTTTTGGAATCTGTGAGTCTGCTGCTGTTTTGTTCCTTCAGTTTTGCTTTGTTGTTATACTCCACAAATGAGTGAAATCATTTGGTACTTGCCTTTCTCCACCTGGCTTATTTCAATGAGCATAATACCCTCTAACTCCATTCATGTTGTAGCAAATGGTAGGATGTTTTCTTCTTATGGCTGAATAATATTCCATTGTGTATATGTACCAGATCTTCTTTATCCATTCATCTACTGGTGGACACTTAGGTTGCTTCCATATCTTGGCTATTGTAAATAGTGCTGTGATAAACACAGGGGTTTTCAAATAAACATGTCTTTTTGAATCTGGGCTCTTGTTTTCTTTGTGTAAATTCCTAGGAGTGGAATTACTGAGACAAATGGTATTTCTATTTTGAGTTTTTTGAGGAACCTCCATATTACCTACCACAATGGCAGAACTAATTTACATTCCCACAAACAGTGTAAGAGGGTTCCCCTTTCTCTGCATCCGGTTTTTTCTTTCTGTTTATTTAAAGTCTCGGATCATGGTTAACTTCCCAGCATTGCATTTTATCTGGTCTCTAATTCGGGAATAACTGCAGGGGTATATAGTCTTCTTAAGTGGCTATTTGCTAACGTTCTTCTTAAAATAACCAAGGTCTTAATCTCAGGGCCTCTTTAGGGAGTGCTTTAGACAATACTGATGTAGAGAGAGTAGATAGATCAGGTGGTCTATTTCCCTTCTGACCCTCTCTGGCCTCTCTTAATTATCCATTTTCAGGAGTCTCCTACTTTCCTGTGACTCCGCATTTTTCATGAAGAGGTGTTCAGGCATTAAGCTGAGAGCAATGAACATTTGGTCCCATCTGAAGTATATCTCTTGAAGATTCCTCAAAGTTTCTGACCTGCAGATGGTACTTTTTCCTAGTTCCAAATATTCTCAAGGCGTTTTCCATCTTTTCATTATTCCATTGCTTATTTTGATGAAAACCTACAAAGGAGACCTGTCTTCCAGTACTCACAACTGCTTTGTGCTCAGAAGTCAAGAAGGTGTTGTACCATAGTCATCTGTTCATTGCCAAAACTACCATCAAAGATTATGAAATACTAGCTACCATTTATTGAGCTCATGTGCTCAAAATTATGCTAGTGTGTTATATTCATTTTTTTCAAGTAATTCTTACAAATAACTCTAAGACAGGAGTAACTGCTCTCCCTCTCTCCCTCTTTCTCTCTCTCACTTTATAAACTAGGATATAGGATATCCTCACGCAGTGGTTCAGTGATTTGTCCAACAACAAATGGCTATAGAAAGACAGGGGTAGATTTTGTATTCAAACCTTTCTGACTCAACTATTTCTCCATCCATGGTGTCATGGGTTGAGGACTTTGGCACATCTCCCCACCATCTTCTCTCTGCCATTCACACTCCTGGTATTTTTTTTAGAATTCACAAATTGATAAACTGCAAAATGTCACTCCTTTCCTGCATGTCTTTCCACTTCTAGCACTGTATTCATGTTGACCCTGATGTGTGAATTTGTTCTTCAAAGTCAAAGAAATAATAGCCATAGGGAAAAAGTTCTTCCTTTACTTTTTGGTTATTGTTGTTGTTTTTTTTCTCATAAGTTTGATCACTGTAATAGATTCTGTTCTACTGATTTTACAGTTTTGCCTTTTCTGTCCCATCTTTCTTATCTTTGATTTTTCAGGGTCCATTCCATGTCCTCTATATTAATACCTGAAAATGGTAATGTTTCTGTTCTTCGAGGCCTTACCCTCACATCTTTCCTTCAGAACTTCCTTTAAAATTAGTAAAGTTGCTCCGTCTACTCTGGTGTTCTTGGAGGCAAAATTTTACTTCTCTTGCCCATTCTTTTCTCATAATTTAACATTTCTTCCTCAACTACAAAAGTTTGCTTTATCTCCAGATATTTTTATCAGTTTACCAAGTTAAAAAAATTGATGAGAATAGTAAGGTCTTCTATTTTATAGTCATAAATTCTATTCCATATATGTTACATAAATCCCATCATTTGTCTTTTATTTTTTTATTTTTTGGCTAGTACATTCCAGTCTGTTGGAAATCTGAAAAAATAAGCCCCTTTCAATTTGACCTCTCTTAATAAACTCTTTTTAAATACGTAGCTTCAGAAACTATTCATTGTTCACTTCTGACTTTATCCTTCTTTTCCCACATGTACTGGAAATATATTTCTATCAACAACCTCTTTGTAGTGCGCATGAAAGAACTGATATTCTTAATAACATCCTCTTTTCCTCTCTCCCTCGATAGAATATTCATTCCTTTTAAAATTGAGATATATTTGGCATATAACATTGTGTAAGTTTAAACAGGACATCACTTCCCATTTTATTGCCACATCATAAAACTTCCAATGAATTCTTTAGCTTTGATTTATCTTTCAAATACAGATAGAGTTTAATACACATATCTTCTCCCACCATGCCTAAGACCTCTACAGTTTCCTTTGCCACTTCTTAGCGTGAAGGCTTTCAAACTCTATTTCTTCTTAATGCATTAAGTGTTCCTCTTTATAAGCAAACTTGTATGTTGCATGAAATTACATTCAATAGAGTATTTCTTCTCTTAGTGACTTTGCTCTCATTTTTTACACGTTATTTGGTTGGCAGATTATTACTAAAAGCTGGCCTTGGACCCATCTTCAAGTAATTTTAATTAGTTCTTTAGTGATTTCTCTGAATTCTTTATGTCACACCCTTCTAATTGACTTTTACCTCTGATTTATCTGAGACTCAGTGATTCTTCTCTACTAGATTAACATTCTCTTCTTCTGAGCCTTGGTTCCAATTACATTAAGTCAGAGAATCAGTGGGGAAGCTGGACAAGCAGGTTTGGAAACAGGAGAGGAACTATCAGTCATCAAGGTGCTATTGGAATGAATGAAATCCACCCATTTCCTCAGCCTTGTGTCTATCCAGTCAAGATTGAAACTCCTAAGAGATGGAGTCTGATTGGCTAAGTCTAGGTATCAAGGAAGTTTGAGAAAGAATCCAGGAGAAATAATCTCCCAGAACCCCTTATGCTTCCATGCAGGAAAGGAAGTGAAAGGCTTCTACACTTACAATCTCAGTAAGTTTATATAAAATGGGGGTGGGTGGCTCTCCAACAGTTAACCAGAGTGTTGTTAAGAAGGGGAATGAACGTGGTGAATGACAGGAAATACATGTAAGTACCCAGATGGGGCATTTAGCCTCCTATCTTCTCTCTTTTCAAATCAGTATAGATGTTCTCTGTTCAGCTGGGCAGGCATTACCAGTTCAGTTCTTTCAATTCTCCTCTCTTGGATGCTTGCATCAGGCTATGCTGCACCTGCTACACATTGGAAAGAACAGAGATTTGTGACCCTGCAGAGGTTGTTTATGCCCCCAGAGTCTCATTTTTTATCACCCATAAAGTTGGGACATACTTCATACGTTTTCGTGAAGATTATTACTGGTAAGATGCAGTGCTTGACACACATTAGTCATCAACAAAATGCTGGCTGCCCCCGCCTCTTCCCCAGACAATCTTGTGGATGATTTTCCCATTTATCAAGGCAGTTATTCATAATCTCCTTCCATGGAAAGCCCTGCCAGGGCTTTGTTCTCCACGTCAGAAATGTTTTCCATTCTTACACTTTCTACGCAGATGATTTACTTGGCATGCTTCTGGCTGTTGGTTCTCCCAGTAAAACTCTTCTCTGTTCCTAATGGAAACAACACAGCAGGTGTATCCTCTCCTTGTCACAAATGTACTGCTCATGTATTTTTCAGTCCAAAGCTCAGATCTGTCCGCACATTTACCATTTGCCACGTGCATTTCTAACATTGCCTCTCTAATAAAACTGACTTGAGGTCTTCCATGAAGTCACCTAATGCTGTCAGTGTTGCTGGCCCCTTCCCTTCTGAAATGGGCTCCAAATTAATTTCAGTTTCTGCTTTCTGGACCTTTATAGTAAACTCCTTACCTCTAAGAATTGGAATTATTGAAAATATGGCCTGTAGTCTTCCAAACTCAATCATCAGTCATAGCCTTGCATTTATTTTCTTCTGTGAGATGCCTTGGGTATCAAATCCTTATAATTATAAATGGATTTTAGTGTCTATGAAGTGCCAGGAGCATTTCAGTTACTACAGAAATGAACATATATTCCCTGCCCTCAAATAGCCTCTAGCTTAGTGAGGTACTAGAGACATGCTAACAGGTTAATTACACTAGAATGTGAGAAGTGGCATGAGATAGTGAAGGTTGTAAACTGAGTCACAAGGATGAGTGGAGGTGAACTGGACAAAGAGATGGGGAAAGATGATGTAGACTGAGGGAGGAATGTGGGCAAAACCACAACAGTGAAAGAGAGCAGAGCATTGCAAGTAATTCAGTGGGTCTTGCGTGCAGGGGTTAAGAGGTTGGGTGGTTGAGTTGATCTTGAGACAGTAGAGCAAGGGTCAGTAACCAAGGCCTGAGGAGGACAGCCTGGCTTCATAAGTACTGTGAGCAGAGCCATCCCCATTCATTTACATAGTGTCTGTGGCTCTTCTGTTGCCACGATGGCAGAGGTGAGCAGTTGCCACAGAGACTGTTTCACCTGCAGAGCACAAAATGTTTACTATCTGGACTTTTACAGAAAAAGTTTGCCAGCCGCTGCCACGGATACGAAACAGAGCACGATGATCCTGGAAAGCCATTCTAAAGAATCTACACTACTCAGAGGGGCAATGGCAAGGTCAAGGAAGGATGTTAAGCAATGGAATGACATGGTCATCAGGTCTGTGTTTTAGGAAAATCACTTTGGCTGCATAAGCAGAATGGATTAGAGGGAGCACGACTGAAGGGAGGGGCGCTAGTTAGAAAGGAACTGCAATGACCCAGCCGGGTGAAGACTGTGGCCTGAACTAGTGCATGCCCAGAATCATGACAGAAGATACTTAAGGAAAATCATGGTAAGTGGCATTCGCTTAAATTTTCCTTCTGTGACCTCTCCTCTCCTTTTGTTCCTCTTTCCTGTATCCTTCCTTCCCTTCCTCCACATTTCTTTCCATAGTCATTTTTCCATGATCATTCTTTTCCCTTCTGCAACCACCCGATTCACGTTTGCCACTATACCCTTTGTCAAAGTCAGGCAGGCAGAAACTTCAGGGGATCTGCATATTTGAACTTCCATACTTGTGCATTCGCTCTTGTGGCTTGTCCCTTCCCAAATCTGAGCCACTGACTTACGGTCGTACAAGCCCTCGTGGTCTTCCTCCTCCTCCTTCTCATCTTGGGCCACCTGTTTGGGCCACTTCAACAGTTTCTGGAATCCCTCAGTACTTCACTGTTGAAATATTTCTCCCTCTGCTCATCCAGGGTACACATTGCTGCTGTCCAACTCCCCATAAAACCCAAACTTTTGAAGTTGAAAAGACCGTCTTCACTTTTTCAGTTTGTTAAGTATGGTGAAACTGAAGTTGAGACAGGTTAAATTATTTGCCCAAAGTCACAGCAAGTTAGTAGAGAAGTAAGTTCACCACATCTAACAGATGTAAAATCCTGTTCCAAATTAGGGACATGAAGCAACAGTCACCAGTTCTGCTCTGTGATCCTATCCAATTTGATCCTTTGAAGGAAGTTTAAATAGCCATGTAGCTGTCCCAGTTACTTAAGTATAAATAGATAATTTTCTTAAGTGGTTCCACTGACTAGATCAATGGCTTCCTGATGAAGACAGCCAACTCATAGTGTCAGAAACCAAACCATAAAATAAAGGAGAAGTTAATGCCTACGCTGGAAGTAGGAAAATTATAGGTACTATTTTAGCTTTGAAATATGAAAGTGTTATGGGATTTTATGACTTTCATTTGGTTTTCATTTCATATCACTGTGCCTTTTAAATATCCAAACTTCCCAGATAAATCACTCACCTCAAGAAATGAATATCTCATAAACCCTTTTGTAACCCGCGAAAATGTCACATGTTTATTACCATCATTTCATAGTGACTTTGATATTTTATCTCTGCTACAAGAGTCCCACTTGACACACTGAAGTAAGATGCTGTCATTTTTGTAGCACTGAGTCTGAAAAAGGATGTGGGTTCTGCCAAAAGGCTTTATGCCTCTGATTCCTTCTAGTCAGTTCCATAAGAAAGGTCTACAAGAGACAACCACCAGGCCTGGAAAATGTCAGGTCTATCAAGCACATAGTCCTCAAGAGCAGGCACCTAAGGGACTAGACCTGGCTATGGGCTTCTAAAGCATCACTGTCTGATACAGCAGCCTCTGGCCTCATGTGACTAAATTAAATTATTTAAAATTAAAAATTCAGAAAGATAGCAAGTGCTGGTAAGGATGTAGAGAAAAGGGAATCCCATACACTGATGCAGCCACTGTGGAAAATAGTATGGAGGGTCCTCAAAAAATTAAAAATAGAACTGCCATATGACCCAGCAATCCCACTTGTGGGTATATATTTGAAGGAAATGAAATCACTATTTCAAAGATATGTTTGCACCCCCATGTTCATCACGGAATTATTTACAATAGCCAAGACATAGCAACAATCCAAGTGTCTGTCAGTGGATGAATAAAGAAAATGTGGTATGTATAGACAATGGAATATCATTCAGCTACAAAAAAGAAGGAAACCCTGCCATTTGGGACAACATGGATGGACCCAGAGGGAATTATGCTAAGTGAAATAAGTCAGAGAAAAACAAATACTATTACGATCTCACTTATGTGTGGAGTTAAAACTTATAGAAACAGAGAACAGATTGGTGGTTACAGAGGCTGGGGGTTGAGAAATGGGTGAAGGTGGTTAAAATGTACAAACTTTCAGTCAGTTACAAGATAAATAAGTTCTGGGGACGTAGTAATGTACAGCATGGTGACTATAGTTAACAATACTGGATTGTATATTTGAAAATTGCTGAGAAAGTAGACCTTAACAGTTTGCATCACAAGAAAAAAAACTTGTAGCTATGTGAGGCAATCAATGCTAACTAAACGTACTGTGGTAATCACTTTGCAACATATATATGCACATGCACACATATGTATATATTTATAAGATTGTTATGTTAGACACCTTAAACTAATACGATGTTATGTGTCAACTACGTGGTGATAAAAGTGGAAGAAAACACAATTTATTCCTAAGTAATTTCATAATTTTTGTTGAAAAAATTCCATTTCTTAGTCTTCAATGACCACATGTAGCTAACAGCTACTGTATTGAAGGGGGCAGATATAGAGTACTTCCGCCATCACAGAAAGTTTTATCAGACAGTGTTGTTACAGAGAAAGGCAGGATAGAAAAATGAAACGAAAACTCTGCAAGGAGGGAACCCTTTGGCAGACTTTGCACAAGGAATGAACCAAGGCAGTGTAGCACAGTGGCTGGGAAGAGACATGAATTCTATTCTAGTTTCAGCCTATTAGAAACTGTGCAGTTTAAACAAATGGATTAACCTCTTTCTTGTGTTTCTTCTCTACAAAATGTGGGCACTGATTGGCATTAGTGTCCTAACAGGCTTGTTTTGAGGTTAAATGAGAACTGTATGCAAGGGGCTTAGCATGATACCTAGCACATAGTATGTGCTCAAGAAATTATAGTGATTGTTCTGAGAAGGGGGTTTCATATAATATTTGAATATTCCCTGAAAATTTAATTTCACTAAACAACTGCTATACACATTTCCATCTAGTATATTGGACTTACTTCAGAGTTGAGAAGCCTTGAAGTTTTTAAAAATGGGATGACGATCAGGAAGGAGGTGAAGAGAAGCTAATGGTGAGTCCAACATCACCAAGTATCTCCATCAGCTGCAAACAACAGAAAACCCAACTACGCTGTGACTCAAACCAGTAGAGGTTTATTTGTTCATGAAATGATCACAGATAAAGAGTCCTTCTAGCTTCAGTCTGCTCCACCATCTCTAGTATATGATTTTCATCCTCACCATTTCAATATGTCAGTTGCTCTTCCAGGCACCATGTCTTTATGGGCTTCATCTCTTTATTTAGGAAAGACTTCCACACACACCGCCTCCAACATCTCATTGACCAGAAGAACTCCGTGCCATCCGTCGTAGTAAGAAAAGTGAGGAAAAGAGATTTTGTTTGCTTTAGAAGGAACCACATGAAGTTGCCAATATCTCAGCATATTTAACTGATAAAAAAGCAATTTCCTATGATTCAAGCTAACAGTTGGGCACACTGCCACCCTGAACAAAACTGGAAAGAATGATGGAGAACATAGACATCACGCAGGCAACTGACAGTGTCTGCATTAGCTCCCACCTCACACCAGGCAAGTTTGAGTCTTGGAGCCCCTGATGGCAATTGTTACGTTCTGTCTGAGAGAAGGAACTAAAAGTTACTCAGCTGAAATACAGGGCTGGTATGGAAAGCTAGATCTTTTGTCTCAGAGTTCATGTGCATCCCACCATTTGCTCAAGGAAAAAAGCAAAAATGAAAAAACTCCTCTATAAACAATACAAAGTTAAAAGGTTTGGTCATGACAGGGTATGTGTTGCACAACACTGTTTAAATCAGCCACAGATGCAGGGTTCTTTTATCAGAGGTATCAGTCACAACTGGGATTAAACAAGATTGCACATAAACAAAGGGGAAATACATTGGCTCATTTTGTTAGAATTTAATTCAATTTCCATGCCTGCCTCCTTCCCTTGGGGGAGTCATTACTGACTTGATGCTGAAAGGACCAGGCAAGATAAGCTTGTTTAAAGACAGTATTAGAAGAGAAGGTGGTGTCAGATTTTTTGTTTTGTTTGCTTTGCTTTTTTTTTTAATTGGGTGGGGTTTTTTTTCCCCAAAGGAAGAAATCTGGATGTTAAAGAAAAAAAATCCACAGAATTGAAAAAATGCCTTGTCTAAGTAATGCAAAACTATTCCCTCTGCCTGGATTTTTGAATTCCATGATTCACCTCTCGTAAGACATGTTTTTCCACTCCTCTTGCTTTATTATTATTTGTTGATGATTTCCAGTTTTTTCTCTAGCTTTTTTGAAATCCCACCCTGGATATTTAGCTGCCTATTGAACATCCCACTTGAAGGTCTCATAGGGTATCTCTATGTCAACATATCCCAAACTGACTTCATCTTTCTCCTAAACAGCACAAACAACCTGCTCCTCTTCTAGGGTAGTTCCTCTTATTAAATGACAATACCAATCACCCAGTTGCTGAGACCCACTATGTAAGTTTTCACTCAACATCTGTCTTCATCCCAACATAAGTCTACGTGCCCAGGTCCCAAGAGGTTGGGGATTCAGAGCTGAGAGCAAGCCTGAGGACCCACAAAGCTCTCCCCACAACTGCATTTTCCATTTCTTTCAGCTTCTCTCTGCCTCCCCCCGAGTCCCTACAGCTTCACACTCACATATGAAATTCGGCCCTTTCTCTCTTTTCCACCAGAAATCCAGTGGTAAGAATGTTATGACATTTAACAACTTTATGCAGAACATGGGAATGTCAGAGAAACGAGCATGTAACATGGCAGCATTCTTTGCCGACTCTCTGCCTAGCTTCTTCCTGCTGCCTGCCACCTCCCGCCTCCGGTCACAGGACTGGCCCCCACATGCTGCCCTTTGGAAGGTGGGTTCCCTTTCCTGCCTGTGCTCCACCGCTTCACTCACAAGCCCTCACCAGTTCAGTTCACCTTCTGCAGACAGGAGTGCCAGCTATCCACTTGTTCCTCCTGTCGTGAGCTTACCACCTGTCCAAGGAGGCCCTTTGGAGTTCTCTCCTTGCAAAAGCCTCCATCCTTCTCCCTTATCTACTAGATGATCCTCTTGAAGCTGAAATGCTGATTAGAAGCTTTGAGGGTGTCTTCCTTGTTTGGTGCTGCATCTCCCTCCTAGGACAGCTTGTGTCTCCCTCCTACCATCAAACGCCTCTCCACAGACTGCACTCCCCCTGCCCTTGGCCAGCCCTGCGGAGTTGTGCAGGTGATTCAGGACCACAGACACCCACTCCTGGGCACTGCGGCCTCTTCTCTGTTCTGACGGAAGCCACGCTCTCCTGTCACCCTTCTGGCCCTTCTCTCCTGATCTGCTTTTGTGCAGATCGCTGCTCCCGGTGCAGGGGTCCCTCCCCTCCCCAGGCACTCTCCGCCAGATCCCAGAGAGAAGCACATTTCTTCCTCCCCCAACCCAAGCCACAAAAGCAGAAATGGATTATCATTCCTGTTTTGTAGATAAGAAAAAAAAAAACACATAACTAATTATATCAGCAAATTAATAACAGATTCAGGGCTCAGGAAATTAGGTCCCTCTACCTGTCTTGTTTTCTTTGCCCTTTTCTCCCTTTCCCTTCCAACAGATATTCACTGGACTTCCCTCTGAGTCAGGCCCTGGGGATAAGATGGCAAGCAAAGCCCACATGGCCCCTGTAAGTCCAGGGAGAGGAAATTCCAGGGCAAAATACCTCTAAAAACCCAAATCAGTCAAAGGAAGAAATAAATTTAAAACCCATTTATTGCTTACAAACTGCAGTCCAGAGCCTCTCTCTCCTCTGCTCCTGAAGAAGCAAGCCAGCAAGCCAGCCTCTCCTTTTAAACTCTCAGGTTCAGACACGCCCTCAGTTGCCCAGGTAATTACCCATTGATGTGGAGATGAACTTCTTTCCATGAGGATATGCAAATGCACTAAAGCCAGGCGAGATATTCTGGAAATATTACAATTTTACACACAGCCCCTCAAATGATACATTTTTAGGAAGAGAGGTGCTCACAGGAAAACAACAGTGTGCTTGACAGAGAATAACAAGGAGCCATGATTTGCACAAAGAAATCCCTAGGCTGAGACCTAAAGCAGGGTTTCTCCATTTCAGCACTCTTGACCTTTTGGGCCAGGAAGCTCTTTGCGGTGAGGGTGTCCTGTGCACTGTAGGCTGTTTAGCGGCATCCATGGCCTCCACCCACTGGATGCTGGTAGCACCCTCCCTGCCAGGGTGATCACCATACATGTCTCCAAACACTGCCAAGCGCACACATGCATTTGAGAACCACTGACCTAAAGTATGAACAAGTTAACAACAATGGATGGTATGAGTGTTTCAGGCAGAGGGAACAGTATGTGCAAAGGCCTTGAGGCCGCACTTAGTGTACCAAAGATTAGAACAATCTGGTGCCTGAGGACACAGAGCAAGGGTAGAGGGGACAAAATGAGGCTGAGTAAGTGGGTGCCAACTCACTCCCTGGGGCCTTTCTCACACCGGGGATATCACCCCAGAGCAAATGAACTTGCTGTGTTAGACTGTATGGTTTTATAGAGGGGTTGAGTAGAAATTTATACTTGAAAATTTTTGTTTGGTTAAAAGTTAACTATTTTAAGCTGAGATATGTATTTCCTATTTCCAAAGAATTCTTACGGAGAATCTTAAAAGAACTGCACATGCCATCATGAGCCTTCATTTGGTGGATTTATTACTTTTCTACTTATAAATATAATAAGGGGCCTTTGTAAAGCATGGAAAAATCCAGAATGGTAACCCCTCTACATTTTGTATATTTTGCATTCTCCTGTTTCATCATTTATTTACAGAGAATTGCCAATTATCCATTTAAATGATCTTCTACCCTCCTTAGATCATGAGTTTCCTAAGGCTAGGAATTGATTCTATGCAGTTGTGTCCTCTGTCCCTAGTGCAGTGAGTGGGTGGTACTTAACAGCAGCTCAACAAACAATTTTTAAGGTGACTGCCTAGCTAGCTGGGTGAAATGGAAAACAGCCCGAAGATGTGAAATGAAATGCTATTTCTAATGATGATTGGATTTAGAAAGGAAGATTTGAGGGGCAAGGAGACCATACAGAAGACTGAATAATACAGGAGAGAGAGAAAGATTAAAATAAGGAAAGGATAGAAGTTACCAAAAAGAAAGAAGAGAAAACAGATATGAGCAATGCTTAAGGGTGATTATTTGTATGTAAAAGGTGAGAAGGAGGAAATAGATGGAAAAGGACATGGGACTTCAAGTTTAGGCAACTGCATGTATGGTTTTATTATTAACCAAGACAGGGAATATCAGCACAAGATAAAGGCTTAGGGTATTGGGCAAGTGTGGGATGCGGAATAGATTATTCTCACTTTTACAGGTCTAATTTGTGGTGACTGAAAAGTAACTAGTTGAAGACATTGGGAGTATATAGGCAAAGTTAGAAAGGGAGATGGGAGCTAGAGGGAGGCAATTAAAAAAGAAGTAGTTCTTTAAGCATAATACCCTCTATAAAGAAATTATCTGTGCTGTTCCTACTCTAAACTCTAAGGTCTTTGATGTCAGATACCTTGTCTTCACTATTTCCAGTGCCTATGTATGATCGTTGAGCTTTTGAATGGTTGTTGAACTTTGGGACTCCTGGGCTGGGAACAGGTATTTGCTAAAGCCATGGGAGGAATGAGATTGTTCACAATGACTGAGGAGAAGACTAGGAAGGAACCTGCTGGGATACTTACAGCTAGGGGAGAGGAAGAGAAGCTCACATAAAGGAGAATGGGAAGCAGAGATAGGAGGAGAGCCAGAGGGGAATGTCCTCCAAATTTCAAAGGAGGAGAGGATTTTTAAAGAGGAGATTGTGGTAGTGTTAGTGTCTTAGAGATCAAATGGGATGGGGACCTAACCCATTGATTTTGGCATTTGGAAATTAGGAAGTCAGTGATGACTTGAGCAACAACAATTATTATAAGGATGATTTTAGTGAATTCAAAATGATACACATAAGGAAATACATATAATGAAAGTATACTAATCTTTCAGACATTTATTAGCTATGTAAAAAAATAGCTACAAAGATAAACTATTAAAGGAAACTAAAAAAAATAACGTAATTAAACCTATTCATAAGTTGAGGGAAGGTGCCAATGAGATTAAAAGAAATTGAAGATATAAGCAGGGAAGTCTGTAAAACAGTTCTAAATTTCTATATGATTAGAATGTATAGAAATATCTTATATCTACCAAACGTCTAATATTTTTCTAGAAACCTTATTTTGGTCACGTTAGCTCATATCCCCCAAAATATTTGAGCTGCTAAATCACAATAGCCAGGGTCACTGAGATGTCC